GATTGCCTATAAAAGGCCCCTTCAAACCAAAAACATTTAAAAAAAAAAAAAAAAAAAGGTCCTGCAGCAGTCTGTGGAGGAGAGCGTTAGGTGGCCTATATGTAGGGTTGCTACCAGCTCTGTCAGAAAATCAACACATTGCATTTTGACTAAAAATAACATCTTTGTGGGCAGTATCTGCCCTTTGGCAAGTGCAGAGCAGGTCTGTCTCATAAGGACTGTTGTCATCCACCTCTTACAGGGACAACAGGGTTGCAGGCACTTCTGTGACACCAGTCCCCTTGTTACCTGGAGTGTCCCACTACAGATACCGCATCCATAACACTCATCAGACTCCTTCTTCCTGTCCTCACCACAGGTCTTACCATTCAGAGAGGTTACTGAGCTGGGCTCTGCGTGGTAGCTCGTTCATTTGGCTGTCGTTAGCCTTCCAGGAACAGAGAAATGTTCTTACCAAAAGCGCGTGAGCTCATTAAATGTCAGTGCTGCCCTCCACATTGGTCCCCTTTGATCAGAAAAGTAAATTTATGCTTGTGAGAGAAATGAGACAGCAGGCTGCCCCCAGTATACCTCTGCCTTTAAAATGCCATTGAAAATACTCTCATCTAAGGTGTTTTGCACTTACGGGTCATAATTATGGGTTGTGTTCCTTTATGGCTAAAATCTTTGATCCTGACAGAATTCAGTCTTTAGTTGTATGCAGTTTTAATTGTTTGGCTCATTTTTATCTCTGCAGTCCTTTGAGTCCTACCTCCACTGGGACATAACGTGCTGACTGAACACTTTTAGTATTATCTTACAGATTCCCTTAAGGCTGAAAATCCTTGCAGCTGAGCTTGGGTCTCAGATAAACTCTCTTCAGGCTGAGATTTAATGTCACCTCAGGGGTTGTCCATGCATCAGGAACTTGGCAGCGCAGTGGAGATGCTCTACCTGACATGGTCTCCTACAGCAAAGCATGGTAGTTTATCGGGGTAGTTGTGGTGTGCCAGGGCGTTGCCAGAGCTACTGATCAAAGGTTGGACCGCAATTTCTTGGCCTGTTACAAATGGGTTTTGCTGGCAACGTGTTATGTCCTCCAAGACCCGATGACTTGCTTTGGTGGCTTTGTCCTATCTCTAATTTTTATTGACGATAAAAGAAGGTTCTAACAGATAGCTGTATGGCTAACAGAAGGGGCAAGTTATCTTCTGTGTTTGTGCAACTCCTTGAAGGTGGTGGCCTTATAATTAGAAATCCTGGTATTGTAGACTGCTCCTGGGGCTGTGCAGATTTCTGTTTATTCAAACAGGCTTCTGCGCAGTGCAAGCAACTTGGCAAAACAACACAGGATGCACTTCCTAGGATCATCTTGTAAAGGAATGCATAAATCACTTCTTTACAAGTCCTCAAAGGAATAGTATCGATTTGAGGTAAACACTTGTAAATGGTAATAAATAGCCATGTAATGGTCACATAGATGGCTTTCAATGTTATTTTAAGTTAAGGCGAACACAGGTTTCAGCTCTTATGTCTGCACTCCAAAAGAATAGACCTTATTCCAATAATAAGGTGTGCGCAGCAGTCTGCTTGTTATGCATCTTTACTACCCTGCAGTGATGGTCACTGCCAGCAAGTTTTTCTTGCATGTAAAGGGGGGGAAACCTTAATGAAGTTCTGTTCCATGTCTGTTAAGTGAACTATGTTTTCGTATTGCAGTTAAAATACTTGTAAGGGAAGGTATTTGGACTCAAAAATGTGAAGTCTGAAACTTAGGGCATTGGGGTTGTTCAGCCTAGAGAAGAGAAGGCTGCGAGGAGACCTTATTGCAGCCTCTCAGTACTTAAAGGGGGCCTATAAAAAAGATGGCGGCAGACTTTTGAGCAGGGCCTGTTGCGACAGGACAAGGGGGAATGGCTTTAAACTAAAGGGGGGTAGATTTAGACTAGATAGAAGGAAGAGATTTTTTACGCTGAGGTGGTGAAACACTGGCACAGGTTGCCCAGAGAGGTGGTGGATGCCCCATCCCTGGAAACATTCAAGGTCAGGTTGGATGGGGCTCTGAGCAACCTGATCTAGTTGAAGATGTCCCTGCCCACGGCAGGGGGGTTGGACTAGATGACCTTTAGAGGTCCCTTCCAACCCAAACTATTCTATGATTCTATGAAAAGATGGCAGCTAAAGCCAAACACATAGAAAATAAAAATCCAAAATGCTTAAGATGTCTGGAAATTCCTCACTTATAGCCCTCGAACCAGGCAAGGTCTCTTCAGAGCTCAGGATATTGTGGGACTTTTGTGAACCTGAGCTTTTCCAAATACCTGCTCTACAGATCTTTTTGGAGCATCAGTAATGTTGAAAGCTTGCTTCAAAAGGCAAAAATCTCAAAAGGTTTTTTCTGTGGCGCTTGGTTTCTTTTTTTTCCCCCATAGCTGCTAATTTTTCATAGGCCATAGCTGAGCCATACCCCCTTCTCGTAGTCTTATTACTAGAGTCCAGCTAGGAGTCTTCAGTTTGCTCTTGAAATATTAAGCTAGGAGGAAACCATTCTAAAGCAAGGCTTGGCACATGTACAGATGAGCCAAAAAGCATCAGCTTTTTCCCAGGAGCAAGATTCCAGCTGGAACTCAGCACCTCCATGAACTTGCAGTGCAGCAAAAGGGAACAACATGCCAAAAGACTCTTCCAGATTGTGGCTGAGGTGCTTGGGGGTCAGGATAGAGCTAGGAAACCTCAGGGCATCTTCTGTAATAGACAGCACCTTCCTGGATTATTGCTTTGTGATTTCTTTCCTGAGAGTCATGAGCAATTGGGTGAAACACTGTCCCTCCCCAGAGTGCCTGCATCTCACGTGCTGGCAGGGCAGTGCTGCAGCCAGCGACAGCCAATGCAGCCTCTGGGCTGCGTTCCGCATGCAGGAAGGGTTCAGGTGGCACCACGCTCACGTGCTGCCCCGCTGCCTCCTGTCTCTGCTGTGCCCTAATGCGTGCCATCGCATGTTGGGATGCAGTGAGATGGAGAGGTGCCTCCAAGCTTGTGTTTCTGCTTGGTTCTATCATGTGGAATTGTTTCCAAATCCCAGGTCCTGATAGTTTTGTGGGTTTTTTTTTTAAGTATTATTCATCAGGCTTCAGGTTGCAAAGCAGTTAAACAGAGGAACAACCTGTGCCTGTCACTGAGCAGCCCACCAGGCTGTGGGCTGTGGGCAACTGCCCCTTTCATTGCAAGGGCTCATTAATGACAAAATCTAGTGCTGCTGAATTAGATACAGGTAAGGTACTTAACTGCAGGACAATGTTCGTGGAAGTCCAGCTATCCGTCTCCCACAGTCTCTGGTTCTCCCTGAGTAACTTCAGTATAAAATTCTTCAATTCACTGGGCATCTACAGTGAACGAAGAAATTGGCAATCCATGCTACATTAAACCCTGCTCAGGATATTTACAGACTTCAGTATAAACTGAAGTACTCCTGTATGTAAAACCTGTGGTTTAGGAATATCCCTCTTATCTCTTCTCTAGTTAGAATCTTGCTGGTAATTATTTACGTGTAAAGAGGAGAGGCGCTGAAAAGAGACTTCAGGCATAAGAGGCTGTTGGGAGCTCCAGCTTCGCTTGTCTGGTCTAATTCTAGTTGGCTACTCAGCATAGCTCTGCTAGGGGTGCGAAGTCCCAGGGGAATCTGGAGATAGCAGGAGGGTCACAAAGTAGAACTGGGCTGTGGTTGCTCAGAGGACGTGAAAGAGCAGAGGTGCAAGACCAGGAAGCAGAGAGTCTGGTATAGCAAGGATGGCAACCAGGCAAAGCCAGGCTTCTTCCCGACTCAGTATACCACTTTGACTTTTTCAGAAGAGCTCCAACTCTTAAACAGCCTGAGAAGAAATAAACATAATCCTGGCACTTCCATCACCCATGCTAGAAAGCTATACCATGCCGTGGTGACTAGCCGGTACAGTGCAAAAATCTCTTTTGTAGGGCAGCTTTATTTAACTTTTGAAAAAATAAGGTCAGAAATTTAGGCCAATTAGTGTGAGCCAAGCTCAGCAGGTTCACATCTCCCTTATGCAACCAGATCTCTAAATACTATTTGCATATTTTAAACACTTTTTACAGTCCTTTGAAATATGATTTTTCTCTAACTAGAATCTTGTATGCTGTTTCTTGGATTTTTTAGCATTTAAGAGCTGCATGTGTTTTGTGTCTTAATTTGTAATTCTCTCCCCACTTCATCTTCAATAAAATATTTGAATACATTTTCCTGTGTATTTATAATTGCAGTTGGAATTACAGGCTGTAAGTTCAGTGAGTTGCCAGGGTTAGGAAACTGTAATGAGCTCTTTAATTATATAGATTAAGCACCAAACTTTAGATATGTGTTTCATGGGTATGCAGGTTATTACATTTGTAGATCTGCTTTGTCTTAAGGCATGTGTTTTATTCTTTGACAGCTGAGACATACACCTCTTAAATTGAAGTAGGACTTGCTGTTTTGGAGATACTATTGATTCTAATGCCTTAATTAATTTTGCTTGTTTCTAATGTGTCAATTTATTTTGTTTACACAGAGACTTTGCTTATGTGGCAAGAGACAAAGACACAAGAATTCTGAAATGTCATGTGTTTCGATGTGACACACCCGCAAAAGCCATCGCCACAAGTTTACACGAAATCTGCTCAAAGGCAAGTGGATTTAAAGTCAGCTGCATTCGTCTGTTTAGAGGTCCCTGAGCCTAATGCATACAATCAGTGTTAGTTTAGTTTCTGTCACTGGCAATGAGAAACAGTGTAGAGAATTTGTAAAGGAAAGGATGCGAATGGATGGGAGTAATGGGAGGGTGAGCATTTAGATTTGAGGAGGATGAGATGTGCTTTTGATTTGACAAGTGTGTATAGAGACTGAAGGTTTGCTTGAATAATAAAGAAGCTGCGGGTTCAAAATGGAAAAAGAACATGCAGCTTCAATTAATAATAAATGGTGATGTTAAACTCTGTAAGTAAATCAGACCTTGTTTGAATGGTATTGTTCAATGGTATTATCCTGCAGGACAGACAGGAAAATAGTTGCTAACGTTACTCTGCCCACAGAAAAAAAAAAAATCAGGGAGAAGAGGGGGTTGAAGCTACTCTAGTTACAAATACTAAAGGATCTTAGTTCCTGCTTGTGGTAGTGTTGTCTGTAATGCTGGAGAGGACTGCTCTTTTCAGTCGTTTTACCTTACAGATTTGCCACCATTCCCTGGTTATTAATTTTGGTTTTCTTGCATGATCAGTTGATGAGTGTCCTCTGTACGGTCATTTCATGCAGCGGTAGCAAGGCAGCACATCCTTTACAGCACGCAAATCTGATTGAAATGCTTTATAGAGAGGCAGTTAAACCAATCTAAACTCTTTTTTATTCTTTTATTTAGCTGTGGTGGATTTGAGGCTGCATCCCCCTTTTTAAAACGATTATGCTGCTCATTTTGGTTTTCCTTAAAACATGTCAGTTTGCACCACAGGAAAAGCGGGCTGTGGGGATCGCTACTGGTTATCCCTGCGTAACTTGTCCTTCCTCCTGAGTCACAGCTCTTCCAGAAAAGCTAGCTGGGAAACCTTCAGGTTTTAAAATTCTGCTGATTTACTGTATGCTTGTCATTTGCTTTTTACGTTTCGTCTTCATGTTAGTGAATGGAATCAGTGATGTCAAATTTCCCTCTGTAGCCAGTTGTATAGTCTAAATTTTTTTCATTTTTGCAACGCTGCAGATGTTTCATGCAAACAACGTGAGCATTTACACAGTGTGCATTACTGTAACCTTCTGGGCAGCAGAGTTTTGCCTGAGGCAGAGGCAGAAGGTAGCCCAGCAACTGTGCAAAGCCTGGAAGGTCTGTGCGGGCTTGTGTGCCCGAGGAAATGCAGGTGACAGGACTCAGGGAGCTGCTCAGGTTGGCCAGAGCGCTGCAGGCTGTGCTTGGTGAAGTTTTAACACCGGGGACTGCAGCAGTAGCTGACTGGAAAAGCCTAGACCTGTTACGTCCCTCCTCTTTCTCCTCTAACTCAATTCTCACAGATGTTTCCGACAAGTCTAGCAGGGAAAAACATGCTACTCAGGCCCTACCACAACTGCTTTTATCCAGTAAGGTCAACATCAAGCATCAAGTAAATGCCACGGTAGCTATACACAAGAGTATTGGAAAGGGAGTAGAGCTGTCACATACGTAACTATGACATGAAACTCCTGGTATTAATTTTGGATAAGAGAGCAACTAAGCATTTAAAAACCATAGCGCTAATAGTAACACAGAATAAAACAGGATAGTGTTAAGTAGAGCACATTCCTTTGTAATTCAGCAATACATGTAATCCTGATTCAGGGAAGCAGTTGGCATGTGCTAACTGACACGCTGGACCTCTTTGCTGAGTCAGGGCTTCTTCCTAAGCTAGCATGTATCGTTTTTCATCTGCAGGGAGGAATATTACCATGTGTCCCTGTAACAGAAAATACTTTCAAAATATAAAACCTAAAAAAAAAAAGGGAGAAATTTGCTAGAAGCACCTTCAGACCACGTGTCATCAGCTGGAACACCAGTTGTCTTTATAGCTTAATTACAGTTAACAGTCATAGTGTAAAGAAGCAGATAGCAATGTTTCATATATGAGCTTTGGAAAACCTCTATTAGCTTCCCTGGGTCCCTCCTCAGTCATATATTTGTAGGGAATAATCATCCAAAGTGGTTATTTTGGGGGGGGTGGGGGGGTGGGGGTTCCTTTTCTGCTAATATTACACATT